AACTGCAAGATAAGCACACATTCAATGCAGTTTCTTCTCAATGAATTCTGTTCACTTCTGATCAGACTGGCAGGAGGTGGTATTGAGGAATTTTATATCAAGATTGAACAGGTTTTTCTCAATGGTGGCTGTTATGGAGTTGGTAGATAGGATTAGGGGTTTGATTTTATTTATTGTTATTTGTGGGTCTTTGTGTTTTTTGTATTTTTCTTCTGTGAATTTTGTAGGCTTTGCATTTGGCATTGTGCAGGAAATAATTCGGTTACTGGAGGAGTCTGAATGTGTTTTTGACGTAGCCCTCCTCAGGCAGGAACTGGGAGCTACAGATTCTAAGGGCTCTTAAATAAAATCACTCCAGATTTTGTTTTTTTGTTGTGGTAAGAGTAAAAGAGGTCATTATTATTGTTGGTTTTTGATAAACCTTTAGTAGAATGTCCTTGTGTATGTATATTAAGATAATGTCAAAATATAGTAAGGTGTAGTTTTGTTCTGTTTCGTAGGTGAAATTGATCGTCTTGTCGTGTTTAGTCTATCAACAAGTTCTGGTAGTGGTCTAGGGCATCGTATATTGAAGTATGCTGCGTTTTTTGGGAGAGTACACTGATTATATATGTATGTGAGAGAGAGAGAGAGAGAGACTCATCAAAAAATGGAAATAGAATGTTAGCAAACAAAGTGAGCAGATGGCATTCTTGAAACTCCAAAAGATAAACAGCCGAGACATCTCATAAGTAGTAAATTTCTTAAATTAGATATACCCCCCCACCCACTTTATTATATAGTTTTTTTTTGTTTTGTTTTTTTTTTACATTATTCAGACTATTGTCCTTATCTTTGTCGCCATATTTATTACGTTTCGGACATTGTACGCTCCAGGCTTCTTCAGGTGATTGGAATGTCGAACTGAACCCTTTATTTTGCTCACTGGGGAAGACTGTTCTAGTTCCACGTGCCATGTTTAATGGATGTCAGTTATCAGCTATCTCCTGTTAATTTCATTCTGAAAGTTCTCCACTGCCTTAAACAAGTATTGAACTCACACTCTTTGGGTCCTATCACTGGATCTAACTAACACCTTATCCACTGTGCCATGGCACATAGAACTAGAACAGTCTACCCCAGTGAGCGAAATAAAGGGTTCAGTTCGACATTCCATCCACCTGAAGAAGCTGGAGCGTACAACAGCCGAAACATAATAAATATGGTGACAAAGATGAGGACGATAGTCCGAATAATGTAAATATAATACCTCATCTCAGAAATATAGACAGATACTGAAGGGCCGAAAAGTTGTAATAAATATGGCAACAAAGATGAGGACGATAGTCTGAATAATGTAAACATAATACCTCATCTCAGAAATAGACAGCTTTTTTTTTTTTTTTTTTTACTTACACATTCTCAACTAATGTATAAAGATAATACAAATACTAATCATTAATAAATAAATACATAAATAAAATAAAGCATTTAAATCATTCAACTTAAACTAATTGTTTAAACCAAAGTAGGTACATCAAATAAGCTTAGTCATAATAATAGTAATAATAATAAAAACTTCATTGTCAATGTACTTAATACACAGTTAAAATATAATACAGTGAAAATTTCAGATCAAAATTCAGTTACTCTTGCTGAACCAGGTTCATAAGAAATTGTTAAAAGGCAAGCCATTATTTAACACTAAGATTCCTCATACCCCCCTATTTAAAAGGAAGTGGGAGGCGTCTAACACACCAACCTTATGATTATATCACAGTGTAATTTACTTAAAAAAAAAAGCATATTTTTTAAAAGTGAAATGGAAACACAAGTTATGCTTAAAGATGGAATGTACCATTGTATATCATGAATGAATACTATTCAGCTGGCAAGTATCTAATGATCATACTGATAAGGGAGGGCATCATTAAACTATATGATTGTCAAGGTGTATTTATATATTCCCTATACTATCTGTAGTGGAAAGGAAGGTTGTCAGTTGATTCATTTTTTACAGCTTATCAACCCTTTGTGTGTTATTTAAAGTTAGAAAATATTTAGATTTAAAAAATATACAGAATCCACGAAAAGAAGAAAAAGAATGTATACACATTTCAGGAAAGGAAAATCTTGCCTTTTGTAGTTTTATCAAATTGCAATAAAACTGTTTACTGTAGTAAGATATTTTCCTGATTTACCGCCTGCTGACTTTTACCTATAGGGGACCCTAAAGGATGTTGTGTATCACAGAAAATCAACTATATTGGAGGCCCTTAAACAAGAAATTGAAAATGTATGTGCAGCAATCCCACTGGACACTCAAAAACGTTGCCCAAGCAGTAGTTTGCTGTACTAATAAATGCCTGGAAAGTAAAGGCACTATTTTGTGATTGTCAAGTCCAAAGGTAACTTGCATTAATCTTGTGATGCCTGAATAAAATTTAATATTACAATATCTATAGGATAAAGTGCTTAATATCAGAGATAGAGTATGTAAATATAAAAGTAAACATTGTAAAAAAAAAAAAAAAAAAAAAAAAAAAAATTATATGTGTGTGTGATAAAAGTCTTACTAATTCACCTATAGCTGACAGGGAGAAGAGGAAGATTCATACATTCCCAAGGGTAAGTGAATATAAACCCAAATGGAATTGAAACCTGGCTCTCCAATTAACAATTCCAAGCTAATATCCATTACCCCACCCACACATCCAGGCCTACAGCACCTGGTATTCCCAGATGGTCACTCATCTAGGTATTGACAAGATCCACAAGTCTGGGAAGGGAGGTAAATCAATTTAATAAATTTATAATTACTTCCCCGAGTCATTTTAATAATCTATAGAAATAAAAATATTTGTCTACATTTAGTCAAAATTACCTGCCAAACAAAAGAAACCATTTAATTAAATCCATTCCTTGACTACTTCATTTCTTAGATTGCAGTCTAATTTGCTCAAGCTGTTCTTGTGAAGCACTCAGATACCTTTATTTAAATGATCATCTTGCTTCAACTTGAAATAGGCTTCAGTGTTACCATCTTTGTTCTATTGCTAATCATTTTCTAAAGAGATTTCAATTTCATTATATTAAACACATGAATTTTTTTTAATATGAATAGATATTGAATAAAATGATTTTTATAATACCAAGAGTAATCAATGAAACATAGATACTATTGAAAGTCTAAAAAAATATAAAAGAAATAAGTTAATTAAACAGTTCATTGGCCTCGATTTTCTGAATTCTTTATCTCTGCTTTATTGAATCTCAACTTTTTGTCTAATCACATCTCATTATTAAATCTTTCTCAACAATTGCCATCATTTTGGATGACATTGGTATACTAGTTATATGCAATATATACACACACCGGGTTAAAACTATGGAGTCATCCTCTGGATTTCAAACAACCAACTAAAAATTGAAAATTGTCAGCCTTTATCAAAAATTAATTTACTAACCCACTTCAAGTCGAATGTACTTTTTGCCTAATCTACTTTGCTGGCTAATGGAAATCTTTGGGCTGGCAGATTTAAAATTTTAGGTAAACTGTAAAAATATTAGATGATATATACTTCCAATTTAAATAGTTTCAGCATTACAGCTTAGTAAGAGTTAATTAAACTGAAGATATGAAACGGTAATTATTAAATCCAGAGGGTTAACCCAAACCTTTGGCTAATAGCGTATATATTTTTTGTTTGTGAACACATTGGAATCAACAATGCATGATGACATTCAGTTTCACACTTCAATGGGATCTTGGTCTGTAGACTTCATTGAAGAATGAAACCGAGTTATCCTATAGTGTTGATTCCTATGGCGACACAGAGTATATAAGATAAAGAACAAGTAGGAAATGTACATCAACCTAACATGTTTCACTGTTATTAACGCTTCAGAGATTGAGAGAATAGACAAAAACACAGAACCTTGGTATTTTTTAATTTTGTTAGGGTCAATTCTCATTAGTCAGTCATGTATCACATGCATTAAAACCACAGATAATTCTATAAGTTTGAAAAGATTCTTGTATGTCTAAGTGGGCATCTGATGGCATCTTTTACCAAAATTCTGCCTGTATGTATTGTATCAATCTCTGGCAAAGCTTTAATAAAACTGAAACATGTTAGCTTTCTATCTTATCCTGTTGGATACGGATCCATATGTGATCTGCACTTGATCTTTAACTCTCTCATATATATATATATATATATATATATATATATATATATAGGAATCTCAATACAGTATATATGTAGGTGTATTTTTAAGTTAATATATAGCTTTAAAGTTAAATCTGGTGTCTGTTGGTTCAGGGACCATTAATTTGAAGATTTACCATATGCATGCACAAAGCAAAATATACGATGCCAGCAGATAAAACAAAGAAAAACCGATACTCTATTTTGCCTCTTCAAGTTTTATCTTCAGATAAAAATGAATCGATAATATTGAATAATTAAACACTGGTTTAATTACCAGCACAAACAATAAGAGATTAAATTATAATTTACATCTTAAATCTATTAAATTTATTATATACAATACATATATTATTCAAGTTTCATACATATTTCTGGTAAGCAAAAACAACTACATTAAATAAGATATGTAATAACGAGTTTCATCACATGAAAAAAAAAAGGAAAAAGAAATAGCTCATAAATTGTAAAGTGTCAATGAGAATTTCATGCAATCAAAATGACCAAATTGTTTTTCAGCTTTTAATGTGGCTGAGAAGAAATGTTGTTTAAAGTGCAGAAATACAAATTAAAAAACCGTGTATAGAAAGAAATCACAACATTCCAACCATCTTTGTTTACCTCACAAGAGCCATGAAAGACCCGCAGGTTTAAAAACATTTTTTCTCCCCCTCCCCCCTTTTCTTAAATTGGAGCATGAGAATAAAGGTTTTACAACAAAATGGAGAAAAACAAAAAAAAAAAAGGCAGCAGTTGAAGAATTTGAATTCTATCTCCTTAACATTTCTAAAGTGCAATGTTGTGTCATTTTTAGCCAGCAGCAAAATGCACATTGCACACAGCCCTAAAGCAAATGTCATTATTGCAACAAGAGAAGAAAGAAAGAAAAAAAAAAAAC